CCCCGAACTCCCCCCCCCCCCCCCCCCCCCATTGGCTGCACAGACATGCATAACACTTGCCTGTAAGTATATATTTCCAGACTTTTAAAATATTCTGCTGTAAAAGCCTGGTATGCAATTGTTTAATGTATGCAAGTGTAACAGTTAAGAGTTACACTTTTTTCAAAAAAAAAAAATCATAGATTAATCCTAAAGAAGGACTAGGCCTATACTAAGTTTCAAAGTTTTGCCATATTGTGGTAGACCTATTTGCAAAACTGGTTAATTTTTTTTTTAAAGGAGGAGAGGGAATGGTAATTCTGATTCTAGGAAGTCATCTCGAGGGATTATCAAATGCAGGATTTATGCATCTTTATGAAAGAAGATGGGACTTCTGTACGTGAAAGATTTTTTTGCACTGAGTGTGGCAGGTCAGCACCAAGACAACCCACTTTCTTCTGGCGGAATGCCAACTACCAGAGTGTTTACATTTTATAGCCAATTCCTGAACTGAGTGGGAAATAAGAAATTCCTATATACACACCAGTTATAACAATGAATTCTACAAATGACTATATAAGAACTCGGGTTGGAAAACTTAAAAGTTTACCTGGTTAAGCATTAAAAGAACCAGGAACAATAACACCATCATTTCCTGTACTTGTATAATGTCGTTTCAGATTATATAAACCACATTACTTATGTAGTACCATTGTACGAATCAGTGTGTAAGTATTCAATGGATCTGTCACTATAGCCCAAATTTTGATTTCAATTACAACAATATAAAATTGGAAACCCCTGGAATAAAGCCACTGATTTCAGGATGTAGTTGGTGTAACAGAGCAAACCAAAATACCCAAGAATGAAGCACTGAAGCTATCGTGCAGACATGGTGAAAAAAGGGCAGTCTTACTGAGTATGGAGCAAAAGCATAGTGCTACTGAACAAAAAAAAAAAGATTATTCAAGTGAAGATAGTAGTAGGACAAAACCAATTTCAAAGGGCACTCTGAGACCAGATAACCCAGAACACCAGGAGAGAGAGAAACAATTAACAGGATGTTTAACTCTGATCATAAGGTAGAGGACGAGGAGGATGGGGAGAGAAAAAAGAAAACACGCTGTACAGAGTAGATTTATGAACCACAGCTGAAGAGAAGACAGAGGAGGAGATCCCTCTTGAAGGAGTTCCTTGCCAGAGTATAGCTGAGAACGAGTTGACTGGAAGATTCCAGGAACTGAGGTAGTGGCTCTTGGTGGTACACAACCAATAAGAGAGACTGAAGGTCTTCTGCCAAGGTACATTTTGAACTTAGAGGAGTAAAAAGGTTTGAACTAGAGACATTCTGTCATTTTTTACATTGCAACCATGGAATTCAAGTGCAATAATCTTGCCAGGGTGGCATCTTCTATATACATACATCCACACACATAAGAAGTTGAATGTTGCAGAAAATTTGAGTTTACGAAAACAGACTTACGATGAAAACTTTGCCAACCTTAGTTATAAAAGGCTGCAACCAGCAAAATGTTCAGTTGAAAGGAGACAAATTAATTTGGGAACAGAGCTAAGGTAGATACTACATTCTGAATGAAGGAAAAACCCCAGCTCCCTAAACTTACTAGCTGAAGCATCTGGAAGTTAGTTTCAGTGATACTCCCGCACAATGATCAGCTGAAAGCACTACAGCCACAAGATCAGAGGATCATTTTAAGAGGACTCAAGTCCCGAAGCTGAGCACTATGTTTAAGCAAAAATTAAATTCACATTTTGGGGGGGGGGGGAGGTTTTAAACCTGTACCTGTTTTGTAATGTGTTAATTACTGGGTGGAGGGCAGGAATCAATGGAGTAAGCCACATAAATGCATTTTTAAAATATTTTAAGGATTGCCTAATCAAAGTACAGGCCAGGAGTCAGCAACCTTTCCGAAGTGCCACGCCAAGATTTAACCCTCCTGCTCTAGGCCGCACCGCTCTCCTGGGACGGGGAGCCTCTCTCCACCATGAACCCTGCTTGGTCTCCTGCCTTGGGCTCCACTCCAGCTGATCCTGTGGGGAGAGGAGGACCAGCGCATCCTGGAAGCTGGATGCTATGTGGAGTCTCGGGGGTAACCCACCCCCAAGCAGGAAGCCAGCGCTGCTCGAATGATGCAGGGAGAGGGTGCGTGCACGCAATGCTGGATCACCAGCACGGGCTCGGGTCAGGGTGGCCATCAGGGAAATGAGCAAGGCGGGGGTGGATGACACTAGGGTGTCCAGCCCTGCTGGAGGCAGGATCCCATGGGGATCCGGTGCATGGCACCCTCACCTTCCTGCCAGAGACTCAGGGACCAATGTGGCTTTGGGGCAGAGGGACCCTCCCCCCCATGC